CTACTCTACTACTACTACTACTACTACTACGTACTCTACTACTTACTACTACTACGTACTACTACTCTACTACTACTCTCTCTCTCTCTCTCTCTCTCTCTCTCTCTCTCTCTCTCTCTCTCTCTCTCTCTCTCTCTCTCTCTCTCTCTCTCTCTCTCTCTCTCTGGTTTATGGGTTTTGCCAGCCTAGTTTGCTGTCTAGTTAATTCAGGGTTTTCGAAACCCTAGTTTCTTTCTTTGTTGGTTTAGGGTTTTGAAAGCTTAATTTCTATCTCTTCTTAGTTTGGGATTTTTGTAACCTTAGTTTCCCTTTCTAGCTCAGGGATTTTTAGGGCTTTGTTAGTTTAGGATTTTTAAATGCTTAATATCTCTGTGTAATTAGTTCATGGTTTTTGAAAATTGGTTTATCTCTCTAGCTCAGGGGTTTTGAGAGCTTTTTTTATTTGGGTTTTTCAGTTTTTGGAACCTTGGCTTCTCTATAGTTAGCTAAGTGTTTTTGAAACCTTTTTTTCTTTCTAGATTAGAAATTTTGAGGGCTTTGTGTTTTTGTTGGTAGGCTTTGTGAGGAAGAATGAAGCTAAGGGTGGCTTGGAGGAAGATTAGAGATTATGTGAGATATGATTTGAAGGAGATTGCCTTCCCTTCTTCTTTGCCTGATCCTCCTCATATCAAAAAGAGAAGGAAATTGACATGTTATGACCACTTCCTTGTAAGCTCTCTTAAGGCCCCAAGACCATTTCTTGCTGAGATATTTTATCCTTTCGTTTATTCTTTAGAAAGAGTATAAAATTTGGGGGTGATGAATTGATTGAAGAAATCGCAAATTTTATCCTTTCTTTTATTCTTTAGAGAGAGTATAAAATTTGGGGATAGTGAATTGATTGAAGAAATCACAATTGATTTATCCTGGTTATGTTATGTGTGTGTGAGAGAGAGTAACATTTGGGGTTAGTAAATTGACTTGAAAGAAAGCATGATTGACTTATCTAGTTAGAGAGAGAGCTGTTTTCATGGAGAATCTCTACTGGTGGCCGGAAGCTGAGAAACCTTGGGGGGGGGGGGACGTGGGACTACAAAGTGAGAGGGGAGAGAGATCGTGAGGTTAGAGAAATAAAAGGGGGACGTGGGATTCTTGTGTTTCTCCCCTTTCCTGAGAAATCAGCATGGCATCGGGGAGAAATGCTGAGCTCTGAGTTTTCACGTTTGCTCCCCTTCTCAAAAAAGGGGAAAACTTGGTAACTGAGAAAACAAGTCGTTTTCTCCTATTTTCTCAGTTACCAAACAGGACCTAGAAGTTGGGCTAGTGAATTGATTTACGCTGGTTAGAAAGGCGGCCGATTGGTTTGAGAGAAAGCGTGATCAGGTTATCTAGGTTAGAGAGGGAGAGTCTTAAATTGGGGAGGCAATTGGATTATAAGAAAGAATTGTTGATTTTTGAGAGAGAGAGATTGTAAAATTTGTGGTCGTGAATTGGTTTGAAAGCAAGCATGGCCTAACTGATCTGTGGCCAGATTTTGAAAGAAGCTACGAGGCTTTATGCAGCCAGTTGGGTGCGGGACATCGGGGAAGATCTTCGACCAAAATCAAAGAAAAGGAGCGATGAAGGCATAAATAATGAACAGAGCTCTCAACATGCCAAGGCATCAACAAGTGCTGAGAAGGAACCTGCAATGTTGGAGGATCTTGGTAGGTCCTTTTTTTTTTTTGTCCTTCTCTTTTCAACTGGTGTTTGGCTCTTTGCTTGATGTTAAATTCATGTGCAAAACTCTCTTTCAGCTGTTGTTTTAGTTTTAGCCAGTTATTTAAAAATCACCTAGCTGATTTTGAATCACCCAAATCGACTCTCAATTAGGAGCCAGGAGATTCTGGTCCCAAAATACACCGCCAGATTCTCCAGGTTTTTTCCAGCTTTTTTTTTTTTTCAAAAAAGAAATTGTGTTAAGCATGAATTCGACTCGGGAATCGCCAGAGTCAGACCAGAAATTATACCCATGGTGTTTCAGGGGACCGATTGCGATTTTTGAAACACGGGTTTTAGCTTTGTTAGTTGGCAGAATTCAGACTTTCGGAAGGTTTAATGCTTTGTCATAGAAGCAAAGATAATGGAATCATATCTTAACATTTAGTCCTTAAACATTATATTAAACTCCCCATTGCTTGTAACTACTATTTAATGAACGATTATGAGGCCAACTGCGATAAGAACCAATAAAAGAGGGGAGGATTTCAATTTTGTCTACAATATAGAATACAGACAACAAAAGCAACTCCAAACAAGAAACTTACTTGCAAATTCATGAGTGTAACCTTTTCAATGCCCACATACTGTAGATAACTGACTTCTATCAGTTGTTAAAAGAAAGAACCGATTGCACTAAATGGATTTAAGGGAGTAAGATTGAGAGTTAATTCTTGTTTTTCCTCTTATTGGTATATAATTGTCTCCCATCTGTCATTACAAGAATGAATTGGTTGTGACTACATGAATCTTATGGAGAGAGAGAGAGAGAGAGTTAATTCTTATAAGAGAGAAAGAGATTGTGTTCTTTCGTGTTTTCTTTTTTGCAGATAACTGAGTTCTATCAAATGTTTAATTAGTTACTATGTGAATCTCACACACACACAGAGTTCTTATATCTTTTGTTTTGACATATAATTGACTTGTATCAGTTGAAAGAAAGAATTCATTGTCACCATGTGAATCAGAAAGAGAGAGATAGAGAAAGTTAATTATTTGTATCTTCTATTTCCAATTTATAATTAACTTCTATCGGTTGTTATAAGAAGAGTTGGTTCTCACTACATAAATCCGACAGGGGTGGGAGAGAGAGACAGAGATTCTCTCTAGATAATTTGCTTCTGTCAGTTTTTTGAGAAACATAATTTGCTTCTATCAGTTGTTATTAAGAAAGAATTGATTTTTATAACATGAGATATTCTTATATGGTTTTTCTTTCCTCGTCGCGGCTGAACAAACAGCGGTGGCTGCCAGAGGGGGAATGGAGACTCTAAGGCCGGCACTTCAAAGAGTTTACATGACAAGGGCATCGGCTTATAGGGATGCTCTTAAAAGCTTTATTCAAGGGTACCAAGAAGGTCTCCAAGAAGTCCTGGCCGACAAGGAAAACCCTAAATCATCTCAACCTCAAGGCGAGAAAGACCATCCGAAAGACCATCCGAAAAAATCAATATAATTGAGGTGGGCATCTATATTATATGAGAGATAGACTGAGCTATTGGTTTGATTTTTGTTGATTAAGATAAATGTAACATGAGAGAGTAGAAGGTTAATTGTCTGATATTACATGAATAAAGGGGAGAGAGAGAGAGAGATGGCACCCTTCATTTGTTTTAATGGGTAGCATCTCTAACTGCTTAAGGCATGAGAGTCCCTATAAACAGGAGGCTTTACAATGGCATCCACACCCATCACAGGTGCTTATCATTCAAATTAAGCGCCCAACCAGAGATAACAATCCCAAGAAGCATTTCATTGACAGAAGAGAGGGAACCCGGTTTGCATCTTCTGCAAAATTTATTGCAGAGATGTGTATTGGAGAAGTCTCTTAGTAAAGGAAAGAGCTATCATGCTCATATCATCCAAAATAGGTTACAGACCGACACTAAGCTCTCAAATATTCTTATCAACATGTATTGGAAATGTGGGTCTCTTGATTATGCTCGTTTTGTCTTTGATTCGATGCCCCAAAAAAGCTTGGTTTCATGGAATATGATCATTGGAGGCTATACTCAGAATGGAGAGGAAGACCAGGCCATGAAACTCTTTCTTAAAATGATGAGAGAGAAAGTGACCCCAAGTGAGTTCTCTCTCTCTAGCATACTCTGTGCTTGCTCAGCAAAATTAGCATTGGAAGAAAGCAAGCAACTCCATGCTTTTGCCATCAAAACATCATTCTATACCAACACCTATGTGGGTACCTCTCTCCTTGATATATATGCGAAGTGCAATTTAATCGATGATTCCAGCCTAGTTTTTGATGAGATGCCCGAAAGGAGTGAAGTCTCTTGGAGTTTGATGATATCTGGTTATGTAAATAACGATGAATGTGAAGAAGCCCTGAAACTCTTTGGTATAAGTTTGAGTAGAGGTTTTGCAGTTACTGAATTTTCTCTCTCTTCGTCTCTCAGTGCTTGTGCGAGCCTAGCAGCTCTTATAGAAGGGAACCAATTGCATGCATTGGCAATTCGATCAGGTTTTCTCTTGAATCTCTTCGTGGATGCCTCTCTAATAGATATGTATGCAAAATCAGGAAGCATAGAAGAGTCTTACAAGGTGTTTTCGAGCTTGATTGATAGGAATGTAGTTATATGGAACGCGATGATTTCAGGCTTCTCGAAGCATGCGTGTGGAATTCAGGCCCTTATGATGTTTGAAAAGATGAAGCAGATCGGATTGGAGCCAAATAGGACAACATATACATCTCTCTTGTCAGCTTGTGCACACTCAGGTCTAGTAGAAGAAGGCCAAAGGCATTTTGCACTAATGGCCCGTGACTTTGAACCAGATGTGCACCACTATGCGTGCATAGTGGACCTTTTGGGGCGAGCTGGGTTCATTGATGAGGCCAAAAGGCTCATTGATTTGATGCCTTTCGAGCCCACCCCTTCTATTTGGGGCTCACTTCTTGGAGCGAGTCGGTTTTACAAAAACCTTAGTCTTGCTGAAATTGCAGCTAAAAATCTCTTTATGATTGAGCCCAACAATGCAGGCAATCATGTTTTGTTATCAAATATATATGCATCGGACGAGAGATGGGAGGAGGTGGCGAGGGTTCGAAAGGCTTTGAAAGACAGTGGAACAAAGAAAGAGAAAGGGCAGAGTTGGATTGAGGTTATGGGCCATGTCCATGTTTTTGTGGTGGGAGATAGGAGCCACCCAAGAATAGTGGAGGTCTGTGAGAGGCTTGAGAGGCTTATTGGAGAGATAGAGAGAGCAGGGTATGAGAGAGAGTTGCAGTTCGATTTGCACGATGTAGGGAGAGAAAGGAAGAAGAAGCTGTTGGTGCATCATAGCGAGAAGTTAGCGCTGGCTTTCGGGCTAATGAGTTTGTCAAAGGCTGCACCTCTAAGGATCATGAAGAACTTGAGGATTTGTGGAGATTGTCATTCGATGATGAAATTCGCATCAAAGATTGAGCCACGAGTGATCGTGTTGAGAGATACGAGCAGGTTTCACCATTTTAGAGATGGTTCATGCTCCTGTGGTGACTATTGGTGAGGTGATTGGTGATTAGGGAAAGTATACTATAATCCAATGGGCTATGGAGAAATCATGGTTTGATTCGGTCACCATCATCCAAAGAAGTGATGGATGGTGAAGGAAGAATATGTGGAACACACGAAAACATGACATGATCACTATCCCGATTGTTGGTGACCCTTCATCACTATCCTTTATTTCATTGGACAGTGATGAACCAATGAATGAGGAGTTTTTGAGTTTTTCCACTGCCTATTTGTTATTCATTCATCCCTACTAATTCTCCATTCTATGGTTCTTTTAAGAGGAAAATTACAAAAGATATCTTTTTTAAGACGATCAATGTCGTCGGTTTAGAACTTGGAGATTGACATCACTCGTCCACACTTGACTGTTTGAGATGCGCAACTGAAGTGCTGGTCCCCCTAAGTTACAAAAGATGCCTTTTTTAAAGCAATCGATGTCGTCGGTTTGGAACTTGGAGATTGCCATCACTCATCCACACTTGACTGATTCAGATGTACAACTGAAGTGCTGGTCCCCCCAAAATAGGTTAGTGAAATTTGGGGGCTTTGTGAACTGGGCTCAGGCAACGGAAACATCGAGTCATGACCAGTGAACAATCAGGGGATGGAGCAGTTATAGGGCATGATCAAGGGAACCAAACCATTATGTTGATTGGAGCTTATTCACACATTCATGAGTTTCAGGCAACGCACCAAATCATGGAGTTATAATATATTGGCAAAACTATTCTATCCTGCACAATGAAAGTAGCTCTAGACTGGTTTTGGTGGGGCTAAAGCTTTAGGCAAGGGAGAGCATGGGGTCTAAGAGGTCGTCACCCTTGAGTTGATTGAAGCATGGTTGAAATTTTTGGGTTACTTTCTGTTTGTTTTATTTGAGAGAGATTTGTTTTCTAATGAAGATTGGGAGGAGGTTAAGCAGGTGGCCACGAAGTTAGGGTGATGCTGATGATAGGTTTTCTGAGATTTTGTAAAGAGGGGATCACTCTAGGGAGAGATACACTGCCATTCTACTGAAATTGAGAGTTGTCCTGGATTTTGTAGACAGAGAGAAAGGAGAGCTCTGACTTCAGAGAGAGAGAGAGAGTCTCAAGTGGGATTGGGGTTGAGGTCATCGTGGTAGCACTACTCAAGCTTCAGTTATCGTGGGATTGGGGTTGAGGTCATCGTGGTAGCACTACTCAAGCCTCAGTTATCGGTCTAGGTTTTCATTCCCACTAACACATTCAAAAGCCATTAATTATTTCTAAAAACAGGTAGGGCCTGTATTCCTTACTATTTACCCCAAGAGAGAGAGTCTCAAGTCTCAAGAGATAAGTTGAGTTTTATTTCCTTGTGTATTTTTTTTTCTTTTCATCTTTCAGTTGTCAATTCAAATTCAAATGGTTGCTTCAATTTCTCTAATTCTAAAGTCTACAAAACTCTCAACCCTTGCTGAAGGATCAAACTTAACATCGATGTGCAACTTGCAACCAACCAAATTCTAGATTGTGAAGCCATTTTCTCTACAACGCTAGCATGACGCTAATGGATTAGAGATAATTCGATCTCGTACCAATGTTTATTGTGGAAGCTCTTTAATATGGATTAAATTTTTAGTGAGCAACATGCATGTTCATATGCGGCCCCTCCCAAAATTGCTCTTACATATATATTTTTGAATCTATGTAATAATCAAGACCATGAAAGTCATGGAGTTCGATAAACAAGGGCCTGTTCGACCTCTAAAAGATTTCGGCTCCATGGTAGATGGAAGGGGTAGCTTGACTCTTTTTTTTTAATGGTAATGTTCATTCTGCTTCTTTAGAAATCACCCGATATGTAAGGAGTTTTACTTCCCAAATCCAAGGAAACCCTAGGTAGACTTGTGAGTATGGGGACACATGGTAGATTTTTCTCTTAAATATATTTTTGAGTATTTGATGTTGTCATTAACTAGACTCAGTTGAGAAAAAAAACTCAAAAGTTTGTGATACAATCCAAGCTGTCATATTTCACATCTAAGGCCTAGGTATAAAGATAAACAATCTTACAAAACACAATCCCTATTATTTATGCTCTTCCCAGTTTCACTTTTATATTCCTTTTTAGAACGAAAATTGCTATACTATCTATATTTGGCATGAGGCGGTGGTTTAAAACCAAACAATTTTTTATATAGATTGCCAATCCGGATGGGAAACATTTGGGACTAAACTGGTTTTGAGATAGTATAGGTCTTAGCTTAGTTCCTTCCTAAAACCCTTTTTTATATTTCTTTTCTTTTTTTTAATCATTTCTAATACTTTTTAGATCCTCTTAAATCCCCAGTTCTCCATCTTATAGATCCCTATTTCACTTTATATTTCATTTCTTATGTTTTCTTTAATATTTTTTAGATCATCGATCCAAATTGATTTAAACCCAATCCCAATCCCAATCACCAATCCACCGATCTAATACATATCTATAGGTGAAAGATCCATTCTACTTATTAGAGTTTTGAAATACTAGAAGGTGATAATCAACCCTACTCATAAGATGTGAATCTAAGAGCTTAAAACTTGTAGGGATTTTGAGCAAAATTAGAGGCACACAATAACGTAACTTTACATCTAATGACTAAAATTAATTGTAGCCTAATTGTACCATATCTAAATGATCTTTATTATGTAATTTTGTATTGTGGAACAAGCTCATATGCTCCCATGAATACAAACATGCACCTGATCCAT